AATGGGTAACTCAGAAAAAATTGGGAGACTATTTTAACTCTATTTGAGACATAAACAATCTGCCCTTGTTCAAAGGTCAATCAATTGCAGTGACAGACAGATCGATACCATATGCTTCTGTGTGGCCACCACAGCTAAATTCTGAGCTGTGCATGCTTAACTGTTAAAATGCCAAGAGTAAGCTTGAACTGAATGGTAATGTCTTTACCTGGGAGACTGGAGCCTTAGAACACACAGTTGTTAACTGAAGGCCTTTGGTTGTGATTGTGAGAGAATGCCCTTGAAGCCCAACTTGCTATCTTACCCACTTCAAGTGTACAATCCCATAATGTTAAGTATATTCACACATCTTCCTATTTATGACTTTATTTTGAAATGAATGTTTTCCATATAAAAATAATGCACTTGTAATGTAGAAAATAAAAAAGACAAAATAAGATCAATTTATAAGTTCCTCATAGAGAGCTACCCATCCACCTATAATTTTGTCTCTGCTGCACACAATTTAAAAGTTAAACCATTTAGGTATGTGATGCATAACTTGTGATTTCATTTTCATACCATTTTGCAAACCTTTTTTTCCCCTCAACTTTGTGTTTTCTTGTCTTATCTTATTCCCAAGTTTTTATTATCAGAATGCACCCAGATGAATGTTCCAAGATATGTTATTGCTGAAATTGCAGGTATATCTTTTAGAATGTAGTACAAGTTGCCAAATGTCTCCCTAGAGATTACTTCAGTTTCTTCTCCCTAGAATTTGAACCCTGTCAATCACTTGATAATATAAAACTGTTCTATCCATAAAGGTTTGAGAGATAAAATGCGAGACATCGCTGTGGGTTCAGAGGGCATCTCCTTGAGAGAGTGCCAGCCAGTGACTTCATGGTAACTGAATAGACAGCTGCCCTTGCAACTGGAAGGGTTTCTGGTGCCTCAGTAGTTCGCTTCCGTGAGGCTCATTTTTACTGAGAGTTTTTTTTTTTTTTTAAGAGATTTGATGTATGAATAACACCAACATCCTCTTGAGCATCTGGGTTATAAGTGTATATTTTAATTATACTTGAATTTATATTTTAAGACATATGCAAATAAATACTTAATCTTTTATTAATTTTCTAATTCAAGTGCTTGATACCTTTTTTTGACATATGACATGATAGAAAATTCTATCGTGTTTATACACCTTTATAAATTATTTCTGGATTATTTGTTGAAAAAGTATTATTTTAAATAGCATGTTTTTTTTTTTTTATAACAGAAATGTATCAGAAGTACCCAGTGCCACGTGACATAACTTGGGCCTTTTTGTTAGTCCATTGCTACAAGAGGCTCTTTTGACAATGTCATAATCTCTAGACTCTGGAAGGTTCTCATGTTTGTCTACTGTATTCAGATTCAATGTACTCAGCCCCATTAACACTTTGGCCAGTATCAGCTTGCTTATGCCAATATTTTACATCTTAAATAATCTTAAGGAAAAAAAAAACTTCGTCTGATTAACAAACTCAAATCCTTTGGAAACAGGTTTAGATTACATTTTTACATGAATTTGCAGAAAATTGAACACCTGTAACTCTACAGTGCTTTATCCTGAAAAATAATCTATCGTTCTGTTCATTTTTAGTTGCATAGCAAGCTCTTCTGTTTTTAAATTTAGTTACATATTAATAACATTTTTATTTGAACATCTCTGGAGTCCTGCTTTAATTCTTGCCTGATACTTTTGAATTATTCTTTGATATGAGGAAAAAAGAACATGTCTGAAAAAAGTGAAAAATAGAATATAGCCAATGGGAATAGTCCGAGTTAACTATACGGAAGAGTCAAAGCTGGAAAAGAGAGTATGTATTGTTTAAATCTAGTCTTGTAAAGAAAAAAAATCTATAGAATGAAGGAATCAAAGGACAGATTATGGGTCTGTAATTCTTAAAGCTATGTGGGAAAACCTATGATTCATATATAAAAAGGAACAAGAATGAACAAACAAATTTGAAGAACACCTACACATGCAGTAAGCTATAATATCAAAAATCACAGTAAGTAGAACAGTAATTAGAATTATAGGTAAGGAAAAAGTCACCACTCTGAAATTACAGAATGACTAAATACATAAGGCAGGATGTGTGTATACCAGCAAATATTCAAAAAACTTGTAGGAGTATCAGAAAAGAGGGTTTAAGATATTTATTCATATATCTATTCATTTATTCAATTACTTAGTTTTTCAGATTGGTTCTCTTTATATAGAGCTTGTTATCCCAGAACTCACTCTGTAGATCAAGTTGATCTCTGCCCCCAAGTGTTAGGGCTAAAAGCATGCACCATTATGTCTGGCTTCAGAGTTTTAAATTGAGCCCAGACTAGAGATAGAAATCCCTTACATAGTAAAACTAGATAAACATATCACAGAGATATGATATCCCAAGCACGTGATAGTCTATGAATATATACAATAAGATGACATATGTACACACACAAAATAAAAATATATTACCTCACTTGAAGAAATCAAAAATATAAAAATTTAAAGTTCAATTAAGAAAATTACAAAATGACGATGAGCAGTGGCATAGCTGCACTGTTAGATAGACTAAAGTGAACAACAGAGAATGTTAGCTATACCATTTAAAAGCTAATGAAACAAAATTTTAGCATGCATCATTGGACGGGGTATATTTTTAAAAGACAGATTATTCTTTATAAATACGGGTCCTAGCCAAGGTCACACTAGCCCTAAACTATTTTGTCTAATGAAGAATGAAAGAGAAAGAAATAAGAAAAGAATGCCAAAAGTATATTTTATAAGTAAAAGGTAAATGATGTTAAAAATTTAGGTTAAAAAATAATGAGAAAATAATTTGACAATAAAAATAACCAAAATATGATATTACTACCTGATTGGAATAAGAGGAAGTAAACCTGAGAGACATTACAGTCTCCATTGTTTATACTAAAAAAATATGTGTTCAAAATGACTGAAGTGTGTATTCAAGTCATTCCATTTGAATTAAGGAGTCAAATTCAACAATAAATTGTAGAAACTAAAGATTACCATCAATTTATATTTGTTAATATTAATATATTTAGCCATTACTATGACAATTACAGGCATGAAGTTTCTTTTTAACACAAAATACAGGATACATGTTCATCAATTCCATTTCTTACCTATTTCTAAGGCAATGACCTAATGAAATTAAGATAATGAAGAACACGAAGCTTTCTTTTCAATTTTATATGTTATTTTTTTTATTCGTTTGGCTTAATGTGCAGGCTATGATTTCCCAAGATCAATGTTAATACATAGAAATGGAAGGAAATTATAGGTTTCTTTTGTTTTTTATTTTTATCTGAAAAAGTTATTTTTAAATTTCCTTAATAATAATGGATTTTATAATGCCAGTTAGAAAGTATCTCCCCTGCCTTCTTTTTTCGGGTTTACTATTGTTTTACAATCATTAATACAATTGTTGTGGGGGGCAAAATATACATCTAATGGGTTGTATGTCAAGAGTTTATATATTCATACTAATACACAAACATACACATAGAGGCATCTAAATTTGGTTTGGTAACTATCGTGGGTTTTTATTCCTCTGGTCTCATGTGATTTGGAGGAATATAAATTCCTTTCTTCACTGTCTATATTAATATCAATGTCAAGGTTTTCTTCCCATCCAGATAGGATATTTCCTTTATCTGTCCACTGAAAATAACTATTGGGAGGTTCTCACGGATGAAGGCCATTTGAACCTGAGGTTTCTTATTAAAATATAAGAATGTATTTAAAATAATAAAAGAATATATTTAAAATAAATAAAAATGTATTTAAAATAACCATGATTACACAATTTAAGTGAGGCCATAATGTTCAAAATACATATTTATGTTCATCTCATGTCTAAATCATGCATTTATTCCCCTTTAAGAAATATCAGCTGGGGGAGGGGCATAGGAGAAGAAGAGGGTGGGAGGGTGGTGTTGGGAGGGGATGGGGAAGGAAGCTTCAGCTGGCATACAAAATGAATAAATTGTAGTTATTAAAAATAAAAAAATTAAAAAGAAATATTAGACAGTTGTTTCTATCCATTATCAGTCTTTCATGATCTCCTTCCCTCCATTTTCTTTTTGAAAAAAAAAATATCTTAGTATTTGGAACTTTGTTCAGCCTTTCTGCCATTTTATTTTGACTTTACTCTTTTATATTTTTTCTTTGCTTCTCTAAGTAACTTTTATTTAATTCCATGTTATTTTTTCTATATTTTTCTATGATTATGAGCTGATTGTATCATGACCATTCTATTTCCTATTGCGAATATTTAAGTCTCTTAATTTCCTGATAATTACTGCTTTAGCTGCATTTTATGGGCTTTTTATTCAGAAGTTTTATTAGACTGTAGTTTCAAATAGTTTCTCATTTTCCTCATAAGTTCTTCTTGGCTAACTTGACCTTTTATATTTTAAACATTTTTAAATATAGAAATTTAATTGTCTTTCTGGTAGTTTTCAAGTCAATTTCATTGTGTCTGGTTATATGATTCATATTATATCAACCATTCTAAAGCATTCAAATGTTTTAAATTAAGGTTTTCAAAAACTCTGAATTTGAGCCATTTCCATTTTACTTAAATATTTGAAGAAAGAAACAAAAATAAAACACAGGATTGATAATGCAAATCCCAGTTGTAATTTCAGCTGTTTAACAGGTTGGGGCAAACAGACTCCAAATTAGAGGCTAGCCTGGACTACAGAGTGAATTTAAAGACAGGTGGGACAATTTCCAAAGACCCCACCTCAAAATAAAAAGCACCAATTCGCTGTAGCTCATTGGTAAGGTGTTTGTTTGGCTAGCATGTTTGAGGCTCTGGGTTCAACATCCAGCATAGCAAAATAATAATAAGTAACAAAAATGGTTACTAAACAATTAACAAAGTATAGTTAAAACCTGTGAAATGTTTTACTCAGAGGAGACTGAAGGAGAACTCCTGGGTGTTAACTACCTTTTCTCCTGGGGTCACAGACACTCTCCAGATGCAGTGTGTATAAGAAGGGTAGCCGTTTGGGAATCCTGGGGAGGAAAGGTTGCCACTGGATTCTTGTAGGGTTTCTCCACATGCTGAAGGGAAAAAGGCAGGAAATTATTGACTGATCATTATGATTGGCATGAACATAACAAATTAAGTATTAGATAGTAACATGTGCTTTTATATCTTTATTTTTTTTCTCTTTCTTATTTTCTCTTTGTAGCTAGTGCTAACCTCTAACTCCATATCCCAGCACTGTAGCCTTGTGCGACTTGGGGCTTCAGGTATCATGTTTATTCCAGAGTCTGGGTACCTTTCTAAATGTATTTCTTTTTATGTCTTTCCTAGAGAACTTCAGTATGCTTCCTGGTGTCACTAAAGATAGCCATAAAACAAGATGATAGGTGATAAATAATTTAGCATATGTAAAGTTGTCTTCATGGGAACTTTTCTCACTCATTCTTAAAGCAAGCAATTTCAAGGACACCATATTCATTCAGGCAAAGGAAGACCTAGCCTGGATTCGTGGAACCATGATAAACTTTTCTTTCCAACCCATTAATATAATCAATGTGAATGGAAGTTATATTTAACAAGGTAGTAGAAAAACTTTTAATATTAAAAAATCATAAATGATAACTAATAAATATACAATAAAGGTAATATCAAAATATAATATACAATGATTTAAAATAAGCAATCAAATTTAAAAAAGAGAGAACATCATGAAGAGGCAGGAGCAATGGCTCAGTGCTTAAGAATACTTATTACTCTTGAAGAGGATCTAGGTTTAGTCCTCAGCACCCACACTGAAGCTGACAACCCTCCAAACTCCAGTTCAGGTAACTTTTGCCTTTGTGAGTACCAGGCACTCACATGCACAGATACCAATGTAGGCAAAACACTCATACACATAAAATAAAAATAAGTTAGTCTTTTAAAAACCATAATGGCAAACACCTATTTTCGAGACTGTTCTATACACATTATTTCTGTTTTATTTTCTACACTCATGAGTAGAAATTTCTAGAATAGTGATTGTATAGTTTTTTCTCTCTAAGCTTGTATTATTCTTTGGAAATAGGTATCAGTAGCCTGAAATTGCAAATTGCACATGGTTGCAAGGCTTGTCGTGGGCTCATGGACACAATTTTATTAGTTTTCTCTAGTAACTTCTGCAAGGGTCTTGCTATGCTCTTTGTGGACCTGAGTGGATTTCAATCTTTAAGAACTTCCTCCTGATTCTGGCTATTATGAATAAAGCTGCTATGAACATGGTTGAGCAAATGTCCTTGTTGTATACTTGAGCATAATTTGGATATTTGCTTAAGAGTAGTATAACTGGATCTTGAGGTAGCACTATTCTTAATTTTCTGAGAAAGCACCACATTGATTTCCAAAATGGTTGTACATGTTTACATTCTCACAATGTTCCTCAACTGAGGAATGGATACAGAAATTGTGGTACATTTAGACAATGGAATACTACTCAGCAATTTAAAACAAAGAAATCATGAAAATTGCAGGCAAATGGTGGGAACTAGTAAAGGTCATCTTGAGTGAGGTATCCCAGACACAGACACACATGGTATATACTCAAGTACAAGTGGATATTAGACATAAAATATAGGATAAACATACTAAAAATCTGTACACCTAAAGAAGCTAAGCAATAAGGAGGACCCTGGGTAAGATGATCAATCTTCATTCAGAAAGGCAAGCAGGATGGACATCAAAAAAGGGAGAAAACAGAGAACAGAACAGGAGTTAACACAGAGGGCCTCTAAAAGAGTCTACCCAGCAGGGTATTGAAGCAGATACTAAGACTCATAGACAAACTTTGGGTAGAGTGCAGGAAATCTTATGAAAGGAGGAAGAGACAGAAAAACCTGGAGTGAACAGGAACTCCACAAGGAGGAAAACAGAACCAAAATATCTGGGCCTGGGGTCTTTTCTGAGACTGATACTCCAACCAAGGAACATGCATGGAGATAACCTAGAAGCCCTGCACAATGTAGCCTATGGAAGCTCAGTCTCCAAGTGGGTTCCTAGTAAGGGGAACAGGGACTGTCTCTGACATGAATGCAGTGGCTGGTTCTTTGATCACCTTCTCCTGATGGGGGAGAGCCTTATCAAGCCACAGAGGAAGACAATGAAGCCAGGGCTGATGAGACATGATAGGCTAGGGTCAGAATTCCAGAAGGAGAGAAAGACTGGGGAGGGGCATGGGAGGAGAAGAAGGAGGGAGAATGACGTTAAGTAGGGTTAAAGTAGAGGGCCACAGCTGGGATACAAAGTGAAATAAATTGTAATAAATTAAAATAAATAAATAAATATTAAAAAAAAATAATTTCCTCCTGACTGGAACTGTTACAACTTTCATTCAATTTAAATTTAAAGTCTAAAACCACAGTGCCTTCCAATGAAGGATACTGCACTCAAAACTGAGACAGTCCCTGGATCCAAGGCAAAATTCTTAGCATGTGAACTCTCATCTCATCGAATACTCAATAAATTATAAATGACTCCGCATATCTTGTGTTAAATAAGGAGGGAAAATTACTCTGTAAAACATAAAACAGAGCTATAAAAACAGCCTGAGATGAGATAAATATTTATCAGCAGCAGCAAAACAGACACTAAGTTTGCACAACAAAGTAAATCTAAAGAAGGAGAGGAGTGAGCTATGCCTATTCTGGTGAGCCAAGCCAATAAAGGGAATCATCCCAGAGAAAAGAGAAAACTCTCAAGGTCAGAAACACAAAATTTAGCACAGCTACTGCACGACCTGGGTCCTTGATACTTGATGTTGCAAGGAGACTTAGAAGAGTCTGTTCCCATTACACCATGTGCTGCTAAAAAGGTTGTGTGTGTTTAGATGTTAAATAACAATTGGGGAACTGAATGTGTTTCATTATATATATATATATATATATATATATATATATATATATATATATAT